TCTTATTTGTAAGTGCCCTGTTGCCTAAGGACAGCATTGTCGCAGAAATGAGAAAATTCAGAATATTCCAAACTGTTCCCATCACAGTCATGGAGTTCTTCAAACATTACCTGGTGGGTCAGATCCTATCCAGATGACACACCAGGGACAAGCCATGTCCAGACCACACAGAGGTACAGACTGAACTCCTGTCACACAGACATGAGTGAATCTACTTAATTATACATTTATACAAAGGAGACATGACATCATGGAAAGAAAGCAAATTTTGTTCATATGCACAAAGGAGAGCAAAACAAAGGGCAGTGAATCCTTAACCAGGAAAGGGTGAATACCAAACCACAATACTGTGTCAATTTCTATACTTGTCATCATTGTCTTTGATGACTTTTATCTGCTTTGAGAAATGTCTTCGCCTGAGATCCAACTCCATGGTTTAGTATAGCAGGGAGACATGCAAATAAAGCTTTTCTGTGACCATGAAAATTAGGCCTGCTGACCCTGAAGCTCTACTGACAGAGGACACTAGTCCTAGATTCCCAAGTCCTCCAATTCAGTGATCACCACTGAACACAGAGCACTTACATTGTTTTTTCTTTGTCATTATGTTAAAAGATAATTCATAGAAATGAGTTGTTGCATGTTGTGTGACCTTGAGAACGAAATAAATGCCTCCTGGACAGTTTCATCACCAGATTTCTCTTTGCTTTCAGGTGTCCAGTGTGAGGTGTCACTGGTGGAGCCTGGGGTAGATTTAGTACAGCCTTGAAAGTTCCTGGGACTCTCCTATGCAGACTCTAGATTCACCTTCAGTGACTAGTGGATTAACTGGGTCGGCCATGCCCCAAGGTTGGGGCTGGAGTGATTTACATGCATTAATGGTTGTAGTAGTTCAATCGACTATGCTGATGCCATGAAGGGCCAATTCATCCTGTCCAGAGACAATGCCTAGGACACACTGTACCTGGAAATGAGCAATCTGAGGTCGGAGAACACAGCCGTTAATCACTCTGCAAAACACACAATGATTGAATACTACTGGGAGTTCAAACAGAAACCTCACTGCAGGATCCTAAGGACCAGCAGGGGGTGCTAACACTCACAGAGCTCTGGTTCACAGAAGAGTCTTTTCAAAGAGGCATAAAAGTCTGGAATCCTCTGTTTCTGGGCTCCCTCTCCACACCACATTGAGGGATCCTCTCTACGGGTGTAATGTAGAGTGATTTCAAGTTTCTAAATGTTTATTCAAATTGCTGTTTTCTAGTGTGATATGTGTGTTTTGGAATATATTTATTAAACTGTTTTCTTCCCCTCTTTCTCCCTCTCTCCCTCTCCCCCCTCTGTGTATGTGTGTATTTGTGTACATGTTGATGTGATTCGTTCATCTATCAACCTGTACCATATTTATAAAGACAACCTCTATCACCTGGCCTGGATCTCACAAATGGTTAGAGTGGTGGACCAGTGAGCCCCAGTGATTATTCAGTCTGCACATCCCACAGAAGTAATGACTTGTTTGCTGACACGCAGCTCTTCTTGCAGTCTTGGAGACCTGTAATCGGAGTCTAGATCCCTGTCAATGGTTCTGCTATGGCGAGAACCTAAAGCGCAGAGCTATTTTCACAGCTCCATTAACGTTGTTTTTTAAATTTAGGATACAATTGGATATCAACAAAATGCAGATCATCACACAAGGCAGAAGTGATTCTGTGATGATCAGCATAAAATCTCAGAGAAGCTGAAGAACCTGGAGACTGTAAATCCTAGACTCAGGGTATCTCATAACCACTTGTAAGTTTTGAGGACCCTGTGACCTCTACATTTCTCCATGATCACAACAGCATCCATACAGAAGCATATACTCACAATTAAAAATAAATCATTTATTTAAAAGTTTCTTATTCATTTCTGGGAGTTAGCTTAATGGGAGAGTTCTGGTTTAATGTAAATGAAACTTTGATTCAAAAAGTACCATTTCAATTATGCATTCCTCATTTTCACTAATAAATACTGTATTTGAATTGTCCCTACTCCCTGTTAAAAGTTAGGACATTTTTTTCTCATCAAAAGAAGAGACTCATTTTTCATCTCAGAAACGACTCTTTTCTATCACTCATTGAGGTTTGATTCCACAGGACAACACAGAACTCAGGGAACAAAGGGCCACCTGGAGTGAGATCAAATGAGAAAGGGTACTAGGATACATCAATATTATCAAGGTATATTGTGAATGAGCTTGATGTTTTGTTTTTAAGTAGAATGAATGACATAGGCTGAAAAGCAATATTTTCAAATAACTTAAGATGTTAGCATAAATATATTTATTTGTTCAGCGCGTGTGTTTTTGTGTAGTTTTATCTCTGTTGTTATATGTTGGTTTGTCTGTATCTATGTCTTGAAGTTACCACGTTTGCTTTACAGAGGCATATTTTCTCATACTATGTTCATAGTTTATCTTGCAGAGGTTACCACAACATCCTCTGTTCACAGAGTCCTGCTCAGGTGTCAGGTATCCTGGGAAACTGGGATTTGGAGTTTGATTTCAGGGTCAGGATCTTCCTTTCAATTATAAAGGCTCTAAACACAGTCCAGCTCCACTTCCTGCCTAAGGGCCAAAGTTACATTCAGAACACCAGTGACTGAGAACCCAGCTCAGCAGCCCCTGCCTTCCTCATTTCAGTGTGTGGCAGATACCATTTTGCTCATTGACACAATAATTGAGGTGTGTGTTCTTCAACCTGAATAATAAGATTCTAGCAAAGGCTATGAATCTTTCCAGTAGATAATAATGTTATCATTTCATGTAGTCCAGATTCTGGATAGAAGCCACAAACTGGGAATGAAGTCTCCCTCTCTCTCTCTCTCTCTCTCTCTCTCTCTCTCTCTCTCTCTCTCTTCTTCATTTTCCTTTATCCTTCATACACTACCATCTGGAGATTGATGCACAGAACATTGATCCTACAATTTTCTTCTCTCTTACATACAGGCATAAGTGCAGACATCAAGAAGAACTTGGGGAGGCTGATGTTTATTTTAGAATTGGATAACCCAATTCTGTAATAAAATTGCAATTTTCTGTAGGAAAATGTGAAATGTGATATTCTAAAAGATAGATGGGCTAGATCTATAGCTCTGGGTTATAGTGCTTGTTTTTTATGCACAAAGTCTTAAATTCAAGAACTTAGCCCAACTTAAAAAAAAAAAGACCAGAACTCCATACAGAACAAATACCATTTCTCACATTAATAAAGTTAAAATACGTAATCTTTTGACTGGAAAAGGAATGGCAATGGCTAGTGTCAGAAGGACAGTTGAAAGTTTTGGAGAAGGAAAAGTATACACTGAGTCACAAGAGTCCTGTTCTTGCTTCCCGTAATAACAAGCAAGTCAGTCTAGGTCTACAGCGTCCATGACTTGCTTCTAAACAGTGACAAAGTTCAACATAGGGGAAAGTAAATGTTTGAATGAATGGAAACACTAATTGTCACAATGTATGTTTGCACATGATTGTCAGAAATTGATCCTGGGTGTATTCCTGAGTTGACATCTACCTTATTTGTTGAGAGAGGGTCTCACCCTGAACCTGGAGCCCTGAGGTTCAGATAGAATGATGGGATGGAAAGTCCCAGAGAGTTTCCTGTTCTCATCTTCCCAGTGCTGGGAATAAAGGATAAACCATCACACTCAGCTTCATAGTGAAGTGCTGAGAACACAACTGAGGTACTCATACAGAGAGGCAGGCTCCTTACCCCTGAGCTATCTTATCAGTCCCGTATTTTGTTGCTATACATTATATACACTAATAAAAACATTTAAAACTATAACAAATACATGTATTATAAGATGAGTTTTCTAAGATAAAATATATTGTCAATTATTAGTTTTTAAACCATTTATTATATATATGAAAATGAAAGCCATGAGGTTAACCCCTTAATCACTGTAAAACTCTGCAAGTTATGGAGCTGGACAAGTTGGAAAAGAGGAAGGACATAAGAAGGAAGGAAATAATGGTAAGAAATCTTTCTATTAAAAATGCTTCAAATTTTTACAAAATCTGTATGAGATGGTCAAGAAAATGTAGTTCACACTTTAAGCCCAGTTGTCAGGGAAACAGGAGCAAGAAAATCTCTCATGGTTCAACATCAGCATGGTCTACATAATAAGTTCACTCCCACCAGAGTGATCGTGTCAAAACACAGGAAGAAAGAAATTCAGTCCCTCTGCTGCAAGTACTTGTTTCTACATGTGAATGTAGATGATGATGATGATGATGATGATGATGTGTGTGTGTGTGTGTCTGTGTGTATGTGTGTGTTGGTGTATGGCTGTATCTAAAAGTGTAATTGTATGTGTGTGACTGTGGTAGCAGTTGTGTAGACTTCCCCACATCCAACCATTCATTTTTCATTAGAACAATTTACAGTTTTAAATTGTCCCCATCTGTTATCTACTGATGTGTTCAACACCATGAGCAAAAGCAGAGCAGTAGCGACAAATGTTGTTTCATTTGTAACCTTTTATGGCCTGAGCACATCATGGTCTCATAAATATGTAAAATTCAGAAAATTCCAAGGTGCTCCTGACACAAGGAATGAGTTCTGCTAACCTCTCCTGGTAGATGCGACCCTGTCCAAGATCCATATTTTGGAGAAGCCATGTCTAGTCCAGAGACTGGGAAAGACAGAGCTCCTATATAGAAAAACAACAGCTTGTGGCTCTTTTAAATTACATACATATACTAAGGAGACACAACAGTGTGGAAACACAGTATGTTCTGAGCACCTACAAGAAAGAGAACTAAGTGAAGTGTGGTGAATCCTTAGCAAGGAAAAGGTCACATGGAGGTTCTTTATTATGTCAGTTTCTGTAACTGTCATCATGGTCTTTGATGCCTTATATCTGCTCTGAGCACTGCCTTCCCCCAAGGGCCCAACACCAAAGCTTGCTACAGGAGGAAGTCATGCAAATAAGGCTTCTCTGTGCCCATGAAAACCAGCCCTGCCCTGACCCTGCAGCTCTGGCAGAGGAGCCCAGTCCTGGATTCCCAGGTCCTCCCATTCAATGATCAGCACTGAGCAAAGATCACTTACCATGGAATTGTGGCTCCTTTGGCTTTTCCTTGCTGCTATTTTAAGTGGTAATTAATGGAGAGGAGATGCTGTCTGTGTGTTCTGTGGAAATGAGAAAGAAAAATAGCTTCAGTAACAGTCTTCTGACCAGCATTCTCTGTGTTTCTAGGTGGCCAGTGTGAGGTGCAGCTGGTGGAGTCTGGAGGAGGCTTGGTGCAGCCTGGAAAGTCCCTGAAAATCTCCTGTGCTGCCTCTGGATTTACCTTCAGTGATTACTACATGAGCTGGATCCGCCAGGCTCCAGGGAAAGGCTTGGAATGGGTCGCAGATATTAGTGGTGATAGTAGTAACATCGAATATGCTGATGCCGTGAAAGGCCGATTCACCATCTCCAGAGACAATGCCAAGAACAACGTGTACCTGGAAATGAGCAGTCTGAGGCTTGAGGACACAGCCATGTATTACTGCACTGTATTCACAGTGATGCAAAGTTACTGTGAACTCAGACACAAAACCTCCATGCAGGGAGCTTATGACCAGCAGGGGGCGCAGAGAGCACACTGGGTCAGGTAAGACCTGTCCAGCAATACATAAAAGGCTGGACTGATGCCTGAGACAGGCCATTGTAGTGATTGCCTCTTATTTCCATCAGACCTTGGTTAACTCTTTATAAAACCTTTGATAATGGATTTATTCAAAGAAATAAACACCACAGTTCTTTTCTCTTTATAATACTGATTTTATTGAACTACACATTTTTCTTTGAACCCTTGCTTCTTCTACCTTCCCATTCAACCGTCCCCCAGGGTTCTCATGCTCCCAATTTTCTTAGGAAATCTTGTCTTTTACTACATCCCATGAAGATTAGATCCATGTATGTCTCTCTTAGGATTCTCATTGTTGTCTAGGTTTTCTGGTATTGTGGTTTGTGGACTGGTTTCCTTTGCTTTATGTTTAAAAAACACTTCTGAGTGAGTACATATGATAATTGTCTTTGTTGGTAAGGGTAACCTCACTCAATATAATGTTTTCTGGATCCATCCATTTGCCTGCAGACTTCAAGATGTCATCATTTTATTCTGCTGTGTAGTATTCCATTGTTTAAATGTACCACATTTTCCTTATCCATTCTTCAGCTGAGGGGCATATAATGCTAGTCATCCTCAGTTATCAGAGAAATACAAATCAAAACAACTCTGAGATTCCATCTTACACCTTTAATAATGGCCAAAATCAGAAACACCGATGATAATTTATGCTGGAGAGCTTGTGGGGTAAAGGGAACACTTCTGCATTGCTGGTGAGAGGGCCATAATATGAGGCCATGTGATCCACAAGGTGCACCATAGAACTCTACATGGTCTACATGGTGTGAAAACACCAGGTTCAATACTGTGTTAGCAAACTATGTGAGGATATAATAAATTAAAGACATGGCCTGGGACAATTTCACTTTGATATTTCTCAACAGTACAATTTGAAATGCCAAAACTGTGGGAAGGAACACAGGAAAGTATGTGACCTTCCTCATTTTGAAAAGAAAAGTTACTGAAAATGATGCTACTATGCCTCAGATATTCTTCTGAAGAAAAATAATATCATGCTGCTTTCTTTGTTTGTTTGGTTTTTTGTTTGTTTGTTTGTTTCTCTGTAGCTTTGGAGCCTGTCCTGGAACTAGCTCTTGTAGACCAGGCTGGCCTCACAAAGATCTGCCTGCCTCTGCCTCCTGAGAGCTGCATTAAAGGTGTGCAGCACCACTCCTGGCCTATTATGGTGCTTTCAATAATTGTAAACATGTTTTTCTGTGAACCAGTGATAGGGGAGTTCAGCCAATCACATTCTGTTTTAGGGGCATGCCGCCCTTATGCTAAAGCTTGCCTATAAAACTAGCAAGCATGCTCCCGCTAGCTCTCTCTTTCGCCTGGCTCCTGCGCCTGGACGGATCATTTGGATTCTGGTTTAAGCTGTTGTAAGTCTTACTTCTGTTTATTAAAGCTGTATATTTTGTATTAAGATAGTCTGGGGACTTTTCATTACCAATCGCCCTGAGACATCAAACCAGACTACCTTGTTGAATTGAAAACATATAACTCTGTTATATAAAAATAATATATAAATGAGCCTTGGAATGTTTGAGTTTCGAATATTTACAGGACACAACCACATTAAGAGTAGGTTTTCATTTTTTTTAAAAAAAGGTAAAGGAAATTATCTTTTTACATTTTATATACCAATTCAAGTTATCACTTCCTCCGCTCCTACCAATACCTGAACTTATACTCCCACCCCATCCCCATCCACTCCTTAGAGAGGCTAAGTTACATTGCCTTGGGGAAGGTTTAAGACACTATCTACTATATGTAGGCTGAGCCATTAAGGCAAGAACTCTACTTCTTCAAACATCCTTTCTAAAGTATCTTTATTTGAATCAGATAACAATATATTATCCATGTAATGGTAAATTATAGACTTAGGAAATTGCTTATGAATTATTTCCAATGGCTGACTTACAAAATATTGGCACAATGTGGTACTACTGAGCATCCCCTGTGGAAGGATAGTCCAGTGATATTTCCAAGTAGGCTGAGAATTATTACAAGTAGGCACTGTGAGGACAAATTTTTCTATCCTTTTCTTGTAAAGGTACAATGAAAAAACAATCTTTCAAATCAATAACTATTAAGAGGCCATCCTTTTGATAACAGAGAAGGTAGAGGAATTCCAGATTGTAGAGGACCCATACGTTGAATTACTGTATTGATATCTCTTAGATCTATCATCATTCTCCATTTACCAGATTTCTTTTTTTACAACAAACACAGGAGAATTCCAAGGGCTGGTTGATTCTTCAATATGGTGAGCATCAAGTTGCTATTCTACCAGCTATTCTAAAACCTGTAGTTTATCTCTAGCTAGAGGCCACTGCTTAATCCATATTGGCTTTTCAGTTAACCATTTTAAAAGTAGGGCTGTTGGTACCTCTAAATGTTTGCTAGTTGCTGCATTTTCTTGTACAGCCTGAAAGACTGGTGACCATTTTCCTTAATGCCTTATTATATCCTTCCCAGAATAATGAGTTCCAGAGACTACAAAAATGTTAATCTGGGTATTCTATTGCTGTAGCAGGTCATGGCCTCATAAATTTATTGCAATATTGACTATATATGGCCTTAGTCTACCTATTTTCCCTTCAGGCCCTATGCATTCAACCTATCTCGTGCTTTGTTTTACACGAGATAGAGTTCCAATTCCCAGGAACTGAACATCTACCTCTTGAAGAGGCCAATTTACATGTCAAGTTTCTGGAGTAATGATAATTACATCCACACCCATGTTTAATAAGCCTGCAATAAAAATGCCATTTATACAGACTCTTAACTTTGATCTTTGATCATTAATAGAAGTCTGCCAAAATATCCGTTTACTCTGTCCTACTGGATTTTTTGACTCATCCTCCACATTTAATCCATCACTTAGACTACTATTGCTTTTTACAAGAAGCACTGGATTTTTAAAATTTTCTTGGTGAGACACATTCTCCACTGTAACTGGGAATGACTGGGCCACTTTTGGCTTGGAGGCCTACTAGAGGCCCCTCAAAGGGTTTCCCAATGATATCAGGTTGCCTTGTCTGTCTGTTGTTGACCTGCATTCGTTGGTCCAGTGTTGGCCTTTACCACATTTCCTACATATACCTGAAAACTGAGGTCTCCTATTTTTGTCATTCCCAGAGGATATATTATTCCTAGAAATTCCTTGCATGCAATCCCTTTTCAGATGTCCTAATATACCACAATTGAAACATTTGGCAGGTTGATGCCTCCTCATTGCTTTGGAAATCGCTTCTCCTACCCAAGATGCATCATTATATTTGAATGTCTCAACATTCATCATTTGCTGAATTCATTCATCCATAGGTGCTGATCTAGACATTAAAGGCCCAATTATCTTTTTACATTCGAAGTTTGCATTTTCAAAAGCCAGAGATTTAAGAATTATTTGTCTAGCTTCTGGGTCTGTTACTACTATTTGCAGAGCCTAAATTAATCTTTGCAAAAGTCAGTATAGGGTTCTCTCTGTCCCTGCCTAACCCTGGTATATGATTTTTCCTTTTCCCTAGTTCTTGTATTCTATCTGAAGCATTCAAGGTTGCTTTGTGGCATAGGGACAATACTGTTTTATCATAAAGAGCTTGGATCTGTGGATCAGCATATGCTCCTATGCCAAAAATTTGATCTTGGGAAACTGCTACAACTTTTGCTCTTTCTTGCTGTTCCATATGTTTGGATTCTTCTCTGAAATAAATTTCAAACATCAAGGAAGGTCTCTCATCCAATACTGTGGACACTAACTGAGAGAAATCATGGTGGGTAGCTGTGACATTTGAAGCCCATGTCCTTATCATTTCCATAACAAATGTAGAGTGCAAGCCATAATTAATGACAGCTTGCTTAATTTCTTTTAGATCATTCATTCCCATTAGCATCCATCTACCTTCTTTGGCTCCCTTTGAGCCTTTAGAAATTGATACTTTGTGAGAGTATATTGCAGGGTATGACACTAAAACCCTGGGTAAACCAGTTCTGACTACCAGTGGTGACATTGTAGCCCCTCCTTGTACCGTTTTCTTACTCTGTTCACCAGCTCCAATAATTTCCTCAATCATTTCAAGTCTTTTTATCATTGTCTCTCTTAAAGTCTGAATCTCCTGACATGCATATGTTTCTAGTGATTTCACTAAGGTATCAGTTTTGGTCCCCATTCTGCACCTGTGATTCCAAGGTTTTAACATTTCCCTTCAAAGATAACATGTCCTCCTTGAACTTATTTTGGATATCATGTAGATTGCCATCTTGGAGGTACATTCTGTCTGTTACCTTTTCAAAATTTTGTGATAACTTCTTAACATCAAATTCAACAGTATGAATCCTTTCAGATAAGTTCCTAGTACCCTTGGATATGGAGTAAATTTTGACTATAATAGTATCCACTTGTTAAGATAACCTCTGATTTTCAATAATTTTAATCCTTTCAATTGGGTGTTCATTATTAGTCCATAAAGATTGTATCATTCTTAGGAGTGCCATATTCTTCCTTAATGATAGAATATGGAGAAGAAAACTGAAACCTAGTAGCCAGTAAATTGAGGTATCCCCATAGTCATATAAACCTCACATGATATAATCCATTGTATTAGAAAAGAAAGCAGTAGAAGTTGCAAAGGAAATGAAAAGTACCATATTAACTATTATCCAGCAGGTGGCAATATTGCCAAGTCATGACTAGAACCAATGCAAAGGTGACAGAAATGTGGTCCTGCTTCAGTGTCCACCTTAGTATTTGTTAAAAACTAGGAAATATGAGTTGCTCAATAAAGTAAATGTAATTAAATCAATCCTATACATGGAACCCGAAACCCAGAATCCAGGGGTAGAGAACAGCAACCTGGAAGCTGCACATGCCTCCGTGTGACAAAGAGTTGCCCCAAGGGGTTGCAGCATTCAACAACCCCTTGCACTCTGACTTGCACTACTTAAGCGCTGTGCTGCAAGGGGGATTTAAACACCACTCAGAAAAGAGCAAACCAGGCACGCAGATGCTGTCTGAGC